ACTTACCAAGATATTACCTTGGTGATGTAGCTTAACGCCTCCCAGCAGATGGAAAACAGGTCGCTGCTGCGTCCTGTTTTCCATCAATAACATCCTTATTCTGTTATTTTATTATATATCTGGACCCTTCGAGATGTATTTTCCCTTCACTTATTTTGTAACGCTTAACAGTCCGGTATTACTAAAGGACATTGTAATTTCGAGAAACATTTACCAAATCGTTGATCAGTCTTCTTCCCGTACTGCCATAACTTATTTCTCCTTTTGTACACATATATTAATTTAATTTTTGTGATATTTCTAGGTGTGTAATACATTTTTCTCATCAGAATAATAATTTTTTCAGTATTCCAATAATTAATTTTAGTTAACTCATTACAATAAATAAGGAAATTATAGGGAATATATTGGTTCCCCTGTGAATTATCATCATTCAAGTCACACCAACATTACACACCTACACTGCTATGTAAACACTATTATACCCATCAATTATTACAAACAAATCACAGGAAAATCATCAAAATTTTCCACGGTACCTATGACAAGTCAGTCCCAGGGCCACTGTACCATGCCAGTCGAATATGATCATTCCAACTAAGTGTATTTCTGTCCTCACTTGCAAGGTCAGCGTCACCACCACTGTGACCGTAAATGCAAGTTTTTACAGACGAATATCACATCAGTATTGCTCTGACTAGCTCTAGCTAGTCACAGCCATGCTAAAAACAAAAATTGTTAGCATAAAAATGAAGGACTTAGTCCCCCCCCCCAAAAAAAAAAAATAGAAAACTGGATTTTGCAGATATTTAAGAAAATTATAATTAAAAACAACAGCAACGATATAAGACAATATAATAATTTACTTGCGTTACAAAATGGCAAAAGATATACACAATTTATAACTAAAACTGCAAACAACTGCGAAATATTTTACTGGAATGCCAGAGGTAAAGCTTAAACATTTACAAAAAGGACAATGCTGCACTGGAGTTCCTATGGTTGCTCTCTGTTGCTTAATGGAAGTTGAGGCCTATTGGCTACACTAGGATCATAAGGCTGTGTGGCAATCTTATCACCACCAGACAAGAATGATTAAGCTGTTAGCACACACACACGCACGCACACACGCACATACACACAACAACACACACACACAACACAACACATACACACATACACACACACACATACACACACACACACACACACACACACACCACACACACACACACACACACCACAAACACACACACCACACACACAGCACACACACACACACACACACACACACACACACACACACACACACACCACGCACAACACCACCACACACACACACACACACACACACACACACACACACACACACACACACACACACACCACACAACACACACACACAAACACACACACACACACACACACAAAACACACACACAATACACACACACACCACACACACACACACACATACACACAACCACACACACACACAACACAACACACACACACACATACACACACACACACACACACACACACACACACACACACACAACACACACACACACACACACAACAACACAACACACACCCAACCACACATACACACAACAACGCACACCACACACACACACACCCACACACACACACATCACACACACACGACACACACACACACACACACACACACACACACACACACAAGGAACAGAAGGGGTGGAGGAATGGCATATGCCCATCAAAAACCAATGAACCAATGGAATTTTGACGAGCTGAAGAGAGGAGACAGAAGAGAAGTAAAAGACTACATAACACTTCAGTCTGGAGGTCAGAAGGTAGTAATTGCAGTGATGTATAACCCACCACAGAACAGCAGGAGGCCAAGGCAAGAATATGATGAGAATAACAGAGCGATGGTTGACACACTGGCTGAAGTGGTCAGAAGCACTCATGCGAGCAAGGCCAAGCTACTGATTGTGGGTGACTTCAGTCACAAAGAAATTGACTGGAAGAACTTGGAGCCACATGGGGGCCCAGAAACGTGGAGGGCTAAGATGATGGAGGTGTACTGGAAAACCTCATGTACCAGCACGTAAGGGACACTACCAGAGAAAGAGGAGAGAATGAACCAGCAGGACTGGACCTAGTATTCACCTTGAGTAGTGCAGATATTGAGGACATCACATGTGAATGACCCCTCAGGGCCAGTGACCATGTGGTTCTGAGTTTCGAATACAAAGTAGAGTTACAAATGGAGAGGGAAGCAGGAAGGGCAGGACGAATAAAGCCAAATTACAAAAGAAGGGACTACACAGGTATGAAGAATTTCCTGCACGAGGATCAGTGGGACAGAGCACTGGCAGGGAAGTCAGTCAATGAGATGATGGAATATGTGATAACAATATGCAAGGAAGCTGAGGAGAGGTTTGTACCCAAGGATAACAGAAATAACAAGAAGGCCAGGATGAGCACTTGGTTCACTGAAAGGTGTTGAGAGGCCAAACCAAGTGTGCTAGAAAATGCAAGAAGTATAGACGGCAAAGGACTCAGGAGAATAAGGAGAGCAGTCGTAGAGCCAGAAATGAATATGCACAGGTAAGAAGGATGGCCCAATGACCAAAGGGTGGCCCAAATAACCACAAATAATGAGAACAAATAGGTGAGTCTCAGTTCCTGGCATTGTCAGGAGCAAGGACTCGACTCTTGCAACCACAATTAGGTGAGTACACACCTCTACAAAGTGCACAGACTGCAGAAGTTAGCGCATCCTAACGGATAAAAAAAATAGATCACAAAATGTAGGACGAAGAGAGGCAAAGAAACTGAGGATGACTGGTCTGAGAAGAAAGTGCAGGCAGAATGACTCAAGAGCACAATGGAGCATGAGTGGGAAAATGGCTAAATGAGCTTTGCAATACAATGGTGGAGAGGTTATCTGCAAAGAGCCAGAAGTGGGAATAATGAGCTGTAGCTACTAAGGCAAAGAAATAGAGCCTGAAGGAACTGGAAATGCTGAAGTGGGATATAAAGATAAGGAGTGAAAGGAACAAGATGATGGGAACAGGAACATCAGCAGACAGCGAGGGACTTAAGGACAGAAAGGAGCTAAGAAGTCTCTTGCAGATGTGATATCAAGGGACCAGGATGTCTCGGAGATAGGATAAACAACAAAGGGGATGCTTAAACCAGATCCAGAGATATGGAGGGAAAAGAAACGGATAGAGGAGAGGGAGAGGTCACTAATTATTCATGGACTTCAGGAGGTTGAAGAGTCCTATGATGAAAGAAGAGGGAAAAGAAAAGAGAGACATTGAGAATAACATTGCAATAACAGGAGAGGACATGTCCCAGCTGGCAAATTTTGACAGACTTGGGGAATATTCAAGGGAAAAAAGTCGCCCAGTCACTGGTACAAAACAGGCTTCTACGACAGAACCCACTATTAAAGGACTCCCAAAAATATCAGTGAGTGTACCTCAACTGCGACAGAACACAAAAAGAACAGGAACAAGCGAAAATGAGGGCAAGAAGATACTAATGGAAGGAAAGACAGGGCAGGCATTGGCTGATTGGCAGTCTCAGCTACAGGAGGTAACACCAAACACAGCTACCAACAGAACCCCATCAATACCTACCACCCCACACCAACCATACACAGTAACCAAAATTAAGCCACACTGCACAGGACCCCATCCCTCTTCAGCACTAATACCACCATCACAACAGCCTCCCATAATATCCCGTCCTGCCTTCCACACCCCCAGCATGCGCCAACCCCTCCCCTCCCTCCGAATACAGTACTGGAAAGAAAGCTGATGGTATAGTACACCAATGCAGATGGAATAACAAGAGTGAGGAGCGGCAAGAACCAATCACTGAGGCATCGTTGGACATCATGGGACTCATGGAGATAAATCTCATGGGGGTAACAGATGCAATGTTCACGACTGGACATCAGATTCTAAGGAAAAGCAGGGGAAGAAGGAGTTGCATTGCTCTTCAAAAACCAGTGGAGATTTGAGGTGGGAGGATTACACAGAGGGGAAACAGATGCCTCCACAGTAGGAACACTTCAGACCGGGGGTCCAAATGCGATGAAAGCGGTGATGTACAACCTGCCATTGAATAGCAAGAGACCAAGAAAAGAGCTCATTGAGAGCAACAGAGCAATGGTGGATACACAAGCCGAGGTGGCCAGGAGGGCTCACAGGGTCAGGGCAAAGCACTCGTCATGAGGGACTTAAAGTACAAGTAGACTGACTGGGATAACCTAGAGCCACATGGGGGACCAGAAACATGGAGGGTTAAGATGTTGGAGGCAGTATCGGAAAACTTCATGCACCAACTTATTAGGGATGCAAGTTGATCAAACAAAATACTTAAAACAGCCAAGTCCAACTATTTTATATAATCATTCAGTCCATTAAACAGCCAGATTTACTGGCCTAAATTTTCATAATAAATATTCAGGAACCATATGTTTTTAATATAGGGTCCCGAATTTAGCTGGAAAACTGAGACGGTGTGCAGTGAAGAAGGAACATTGTTTACGACCCCAGTATTCCTAAATCCCCACATGACTCCATGATCCATCAACATCAGTAAATTACTGTCTGGTTTTGTGTTATGAATACCTCCCCCCCCTCCCCCAGATATGTGGGCGGAAGGTTAATTCAAGATTGTGTCCTTGTGAAAAAATCCCCCGTGTAATTTCTAATATATATATCATGCTTTAGAGATATTTGGATTTTTATTTTGTTTTGCAGGCACCAATTTGTCAAATTTTAAGTAGTTTTAGTATTATCATACTTCTCTTTCTGGAGAAGTATGATAATACTCAAGATAACTGCGGAGAATTATTGAAGAATTTATTTTCCTCGCACCTACATTGCTTGGACGGGAAATAAAAGTAAAAAAGGAAACTGCCATCATATGTTTTCTCACGTCACAGACTAAACCAATGGACGGTATTATACGCATCGGAGAGCCTCTGACGGTGATGGTGTACCTGAAGGACGTAGAAAAACGTCTTGATGTGGCGGTCCAAGATTGCTGGGCTTACGGAGAACCTGAATTCACAGATCCAGATACGCCCAGCCTTCAGCTCACATCCTCTGATGGCTGCCCAACGTAAGTAAACACTGTGCTTGTAATCATTTGCAATAAATTGCTCAACTTTTCCCTGCAGATCTGTCCAAACAGAAATCATTGTCACATCAGACACAAACCTAGCTAGACTTTTTATTATTGCCGTCATATACATAAATGTTTACACAAATTACCATGAATAGTTAATATTTCAGAAAGTTAACCTGATTTTTTCCTCTTATTTCCAATGTGAAGGAGGATGAAATTAATGCACTTCTGGTCTCGGACCTACGACACTTACGACACCGGTGCGACCCTAATCGCATTCACCAACATGTCCGCCTTTAAATTCCGGACCGCATGCAAGTTTACCTCACGTGTAACGTACAGGTAAGTGGGGATAAATGATATAAAATACCGGCACAATGGAAAAATAAACAGAAATGTAGAATAATCAGATGCATTATCGACAAAGTATCGCCCAGACAGTGGGCTTTGTAGAGTCACAAACACATCTACCTGGGTGAATAATACATGAGCATTATACGGCATTCACGTTTGTTTTTCCAACGTGCAGGTAAGCAAACCGTCTTTAGCATATAGCTATAAGCAACGATAGAATATTCATGAACTACGGATAGAAAAGATAGGCATTGTGCGTTCTTAAATTTATAAATCTGAATTTTATCGTTCAGTAAAAAAAAAATGTGAAACATTATGTATATATGAAAAAAAAACAAGAATAGATATTAAGATAAACCTGTAAAATGTAAATATAGAATAAAAACCAGTAACTTAATGTGAAAATAATAAGTACCTAACAATATTATCTGGGTATATAAACATTCCAATACAATTTGCATTCATTCACTAGTAGATTTTAATAGATAGGTGAGTAGTAACTTAAATTCCATAAGATACATAAATATAATTTTGTTGATTTCATGTATGTATATTTAACGTTTCCTAAATTAGAAAAATAATTTTATTTAATTACTCTAGATCTGTACAGAACACTGTGATAACCGCTGTATAGGGGAGCCCAGCGAACCTGTGACCTTCGCAACACCACCAGATATCATCAGAGTTACTACGCCTTTAACACCGACGCGGCCACCACCACCACCTCCTTTATGTTACCCTGGATCCAAGGATCCTCGTTGTCCACCAAGTGCAATAAAACCTATATGTGTTCCAGGATCTAAAGACCCAGCATGCAGACCTGTAGGTCCACCTAGACCTCAATGTTATCCAGGCTCAAAAGACCCATCATGCAAACCCGTGATCACTAAACCTCCTGAAATTCTTCCACCAATTACTCAAAAACCAAAATGTGTACCAGGGTCTAAAGACCCACGATGCCCGAAACCAACTACACCCGTTCCATCAACTTGTTTTCCTGGAACAAAGGATCCACGTTGCCCTAAACCAACAACTCTACGACCTACTAGACCAACTACTAAACTTACCTGCAGACCAGGATCCAAAGACCCTCGTTGCCCGCAACCAACTACGCCCAGTCCACCAACCTGCTATCCTGGATCATTCGATCCTCGTTGTCCTCGACCAACAACACCACGACCTACTCTTCCACCAACTACTCCATTTACTTGCAGACCAGGATCCAAAGATCCTCGCTGCCCTCCAACAACTACGCCCCGTCCACCAACTTGTTATCCTGGATCACTGGATCCACGTTGTCCTCAACCAACAACACCACGACCTACTCTTCCACCAACCACTCCATTTACATGCAGACCAGGATCCAAAGATCCTCGCTGCCCACAACCAACTACTCCCAGTAAACCATCTTGTTATCCTGGATCATTGGATCCACGTTGTCCTCAACCAACAACACCACGACCTACTTTTCCACCAACTACTCCATTTACCTGCAGACCAGGATCCAAAGACCCTCGTTGCCCGCTGCCATCTACGCCCCGTCCACCAACTTGCTATCCTGGATCATTCGATCCTCGTTGTCCTCAACCAACAACGCCACGACCTACTCTTCCACCAACTACTCCATTTACTTGCAGACCAGGATCCAAAGATCCTCGCTGCCCTCAACCAATTACGCCCCGTCCACCAACTTGTTATCCTGGATCACTGGATCCACGTTGTCCTCAACCAACAACACCACGACCTACTCTTCCACCAACCACTCCACTTACCTGCAGACCAGGATCCAAAGATCCTCGCTGCCCACAACCAACTACTCCCGGTAAACCATCTTGTTATCCTGGATCACTGGATCCACGTTGTCCTAAACCAACAACAACATCACGACCTACTTTTCCACCAACTACTCCATTTACCTGCAGACCAGGATCCAAAGACCCTCGTTGCCCGCAGCCAACTACACCCCGTCCACCAACCTGCTTTCCTGGATCATTCGATCCTCGTTGTCCTCAACCAACAACACCAAGACCTACTCTTCCACCAACTACTCCATTTACCTGCAGACCAGGATCCAAAGATCCTCGGTGCCCACAACCAACTACTCCCAGTAAACCATCTTGTTATCCTGGATCACTGGATCCGCGTTGTCCTCAACCAACAACACCACGACCTCCTCTTCCACCAACTACTCCATTTAAATGCAGACAAGGATCCAAAGACCCTCGTTGCCCGCAGCCAACTACGAGCCGTCCACCAACCTGCTATCCTGGATCATTCGATCCTCGTTGTCCTCAACCAACAACACCAAGACCTACTCTTCCACCAACTACTCCATTTACCTGCAGGCCAGGATCCAAAGATCCTCGGTGCCCACAACCAACTACTCCCAGTAAACCATCTTGTTATCCTGGATCACTGGATCCACTTTGTTCTCAACCAACAACACCACGACCTCCTCTTCCACCAACTACTCCATTTACGTGCAGACCTGGATCCAAAGATCCTCGCTGCCCACAACCAATTACTCCAAGTAAACCAACTTGTTATCCTGGATCATTCGATCCTCGTTGTCCTCAACCAACAACGCCACGACCTACTCTTCCACCAACTACTCCATTTTCCTGCAGACCAGGATCCAAAGATCCTCGTTGCCCACAGACAACTCCCCCTCGTGATTCTCCTTGTTACCCTGGATCACTGGAGCCACATTGTCTTCAACCAGCAACTACTCGGCCTACTAGACCAACTAAGCCAATCCGTCCAACAACTTGCTATCCTGGATCATTTGATCCTCGTTGTCCTAAACCAACAACACCACGACCAATTCCTCCACCAACTACTCCATTTACCTGCAGACCAGGATCCAAAGACCCACGCTGCCCTCAGCCAACTACGCCGCGTCCACAAACTTGTTATCCTGGATCACTGGATCCTCGTTGTCCTCAACCAACAACACCCCGACCTACTTTTCCACCAACTACTCCATTTACCTGCAGACCAGGATCCAAAGATCCTCGCTGCCCACAACCAACTACTCCCGGTAAACCAACTTGTTATCCTGGATCATTCGATCCTCGTTGCCCGAAACCAACAACACCTCGACCTACTCTTCCACCAACTACCCCATTTACCTGCAGACCAGGATCCAAAGACCCACGCTGCCCTCAACCAACTACTCCCAGTAAACCATCTTGTTATCCTGGATCACTGGATCCGCGTTGTCCTCAACCAACACCACCACAACCTACTCTTCCACCAACTACTCCATTTACCTGCAGACCAGGATCCAAAGATCCTCGTTGCCCACAACCAACTACGCCCCGTCCACCAACTTGTTATCCTGGATCATTCGATCCTCGTTGTCCTCAACCAACAACCCCACGACCTACTCTTCCACCAACTACCCCATTTACCTGCAGACCAGGATCCAAAGACCCACGCTGCCCTCAACCAACTACGCCCCGTCCACCAACTTGTTATCCTGGATCATTCGATCCTCGTTGTCCTCAACCAACAACCCCACGACCTACTCTTCCACCAACTACCCCATTTACCTGCAGACCAGGATCCAAAGACCCACGCTGCCCTCAACCAACTAGGCCCCGTCCACCAACTTGTTATCCTGGATCATTCGATCCTCGTTGTCCTCAACCAACAACACCACGACCTACTCTTCCACCAACTACCCCATTTACCTGCAGACCAGGATCCAAAGACCCACGCTGTCCTCAACCAACTACGCCCCGTCCACCAACTTGTTATCCTGGATCATTCGATCCTCGTTGTCCTCAACCAACAAGGCCACGACCTACTGTTCCACCAACTACTCCATTTACATGCAGACCAGGATCCAAAGACCCACGCTGTCCTCAACCAACTACGCCCCGTCCACCAACTTGTTATCCTGGATCATTCGATCCTCGCTGTCCTCAACCAACAACGCCACGACCTACTCTTCCACCAACCACCCCATTTACCTGCAGACCAGGATCCAAAGACCCACGCTGCCCTCAACCAACTACGCCACGTCCACCAACTTGTTATCCTGGGTCGTTCGATCCTCGTTGTCCTCAACCAACAACACCACGACCTACTCTTCCACCAACTACCCCATTTACCTGCAGACCAGGATCCAAAGACCCACGCTGTCCTCAACCAACTACGCCCCGTCCACCAACTTGTTATCCTGGATCATTCGATCCTCGTTGTCCTCAACCAACAAGGCCACGACCTACTGTTCCACCAACTACTCCATTTACATGCAGACCAGGATCCAAAGACCCACGCTGTCCTCAACCAACTACGCCCCGTCCACCAACTTGTTATCCTGGATCATTCGATCCTCGCTGTCCTCAACCAACAACGCCACGACCTACTCTTCCACCAACCACCCCATTTACCTGCAGACCAGGATCCAAAGACCCACGCTGCCCTCAACCAACTACGCCACGTCCACCAACTTGTTATCCTGGTCATTCGATCCCCCGTTGTCCTCAACCAACAACACCACGACCTACTCTTCCACCAACTACCCCATTTACCTGCAGACCAGGATCCAAAGACCCACGCTGTCCTCAACCAACTACGCCCCGTCCACCAACTTGTTATCCTGGATCATTCGATCCTCGCTGTCCTCAACCAACAACGCCACGACCTACTCTTCCACCAACCACCCCATTTTCCTGCAGACCAGGATCCAAAGACCCACGCTGCCCTCAACCAACTACGCCACGTCCACCAACTTGTTATCCTGGGTCATTCGATCCTCGTTGTCCTCAACCAACAACATCACGACCTACTCTTCCACCAACTACCCCATTTACCTGCAGACCAGGATCCAAAGACCCACGCTGTCCTCAACCAACTACGCCCCGTCCACCAACTTGTTATCCTGGATCATTCGATCCTCGTTGTCCTCAACCAACAAGACCACGACCTACTATTCCACCAACTACTCCATTTACATGCAGACCGGGATCCAAAGACCCACGCTGTCCTCAACCAACTACGCCCCGTCAACCAACTTGTTATCCTGGATCATTCGACCCTCGTTGTCCTCAACCAACAACACCACGGCCTACTCTTCCACAACTACCCCATTTACATGCAGACCAGGATCCAAAGACCCACGCTGCCCTCAACCAACTACGCCCAGTCCACCAACTTGTTATCCTGGATCATTCGATCCTCGTTGTCCTCAACCAACAACACCACGACCTACTATTCCACCAACTATTCCATTTACCTGCAGACCAGGATCCAAAGACCCACGCTGCCCTCAACCAACTTCGCCCAGTCCACCAACTTGTTATCCTGGATCATTCAATCCTCGTTGCCCGAAACCAACAACACCACGACCTACTGTTCCACCTACTACTCCATTTACATGTAGACCAGGATCGAGAGACCCACGCTGCCCTCAACCAACTACGCCCCGTCCACCAACTTGTTATCCTGGATCATTCGATCCTCGTTGCCCGAAACCAACAACACCACGACCTACTATTCCACCAACTACTCCATTTACCTGCAGACCAGGATCCAAAGACCCACGCTGCCCTCAACCAACTACGAGCCGTCCACCAACTTGTTATCCTGGATCACTGGATCCACGTTGTCCTCAACCAACAACGCCACCGCCTACTTTTCCACCTACTACCTCATTTACCTGCAGACCAGGATCCAAAGACCCACGCTGCCCTCAACCAACTACGAGCCGTCCACCAACTTGTTATCCTGGATCACTGGATCCACGTTGTCCTCGACCAACAACACCACGGCCTACTCTTCCACCAACTACCCCATTTACCTGCAGACCAGGATCCAAAGACCCTCGTTGCCCGAAACCAAACACCACGACCTACTCTTCACCAACTACCCATTTACCTGCAGACCAGGATCAAAGCCATCGTTGCCACGAAACCAACAACACCACGGCCTACTCTTCCACCAACTACCCCATTTACCTGCAGACCAGGATCCAAAGACCCTCGTTGCCCGAAACCAACAACACCACGACCTACTCTTCCACCAACTACCCCATTTACCTGCAGACCAGGATCCAAAGACCCTCGTTGCCCGAAACCAACAACACCACGACCTACTCTTCCACCAACTACCCCATTCACCTGCAGGCCAGGAACCAAAGACCCTCGTTGCCCGAAACCAACAACACCACGACCTACTCTTCCACCAACTACCCCATTTACCTGCAGACCAGGATCCAAAGCCCCTCGTTGCCCACACCAACTACGCCTCGTCCACCAACTTGTTATCCTGGATCACTGGATCCACGTTGTCCTCAACCAACAACACCCCGACCTACTCTTCCACCAACTACCCCATTTACCTGCAGACCAGGATCCAAAGACCCTCGTTGCCCACAACCAACTACGCCTCGTCCACCAACTTGTTATCCTGGATCACTGGATCCACGTTGTCCTCAACCAACAACACCCCGACCTACTACTCTTCCACCAACTACCCCATTTACCTGCAGACCAGGATCGAAAGACCCTCGTTGCCCACAACCAACTACGCCTCGTCCACCAACTTGCTATCCTGGATCACTGGATCCACGTTGTCCTCAACCAACAACACCCCGACCTACTCTTCCACCAACTACCCCATTTACCTGCAGACCAGGATCCAAAGACCCTCGCTGCCCACAACCAACTACGCCTCGTCCACCAACTTGTTATCCTGGATCACTGGATCCACGTTGTCCTCAACCAACAACTCCACGACCTACTCTTCCACCAACTACCCCATTTACCTGCAGACCAGGATCCAAAGACCCTCGTTGCCAACAACCAACTACGCCCCGTCCACCAATTTGTTATCCTGGATCACTGGATCCACGTTGTCCTCAACCAACAACACCACGACCCACTTTTCCAGCAACTATTCCATTTTCCTGCAGACCAGGATCCAAAGACCCCCGTTGCCTGCAACCAACTTCCCCTCGTGATTCTCCTTGTTATCCTGGATCTCAGGAACCACATTGTTCTCAGCCCACATCACCACGGCCTATTCGACCAGCTACTCCATTTACCTGTACACCAGGATCCAAAGACCCACGTTGCCTTCAAGCAACTACAACGCAGCCGACATCTCCTCTATTCTGTGAACCTGGATCCCGAGACCCTCGTTGTCCTCCTCCTAGCTGTCCACCTGGTTCCAGAGATCCTTGGTGTCCTCAGACTACGACATCTACGCCACATCCAACAACCCAAGTAGGGGATGGTACCGGGCAAAAGCCCGTTACCAGAAGGCCACCCAAAGACGATGACCATCATGGCGACGCAGATCCAAAGTATCATGCTTTTCATTCAT